ATTGGTAAGACGCCTTTGGTTTACAAGGTCTTGTGATGGCTAAGATGATTCAGTAGCGTTTTGGAAGAATTCGTACCATGCATTTGACTCTGATCCAATAATGAAGCCACAGTACACTTCGTTACATGTTTCTCCGTTGTAATCTGCTTCCATGTCAGATATTTCAATGAGCTCATCTTCGATTTCCATTTTGGAGGAATTTGCCACACCCTGTTTTTTACTTTGTTCGCGTTTGATCGTTCGTTACCATCTCTTTAATTCGTGTAAAAGCTTTTCTTTACTTCTGGATCTAGCGATTCCCATTTTTAGCGAGGGAAAATGATCCGGGGGATGTATAGGGTCATCGTGAGGTGAACCTATGTTATTCGATATGTCATTATAGCAGTTCAGATAGGAGTAAAAGCGTGGGAACTTCAAGAATAAAAATTCAAAAATATACCTGTCAAAAAATGCTTCTTACAAATGCGATCGGAATGCTTTGGTTTATGTAATAGAGCCATTGCAGTCGTCTTTCCGGGACCTTTTCCAAAGGAATTCGAAAAAAACCTTGACATTCTTCTGACCATCTGTCAGCACAACCAATGACACAACACGAGTGGACCATCTCGTTTTAAAATATCATAAAAACGTAAGGACATGCTCAACTAGTAAGGATCGTTCTGGTTTGCCACTCGTTTATTCTTGGTTCTTACGTACAGTAATTACAAAACTATGGTTATACTGCAGGTCATGGCAGGGGATTTCTAATAAAAGAAGAGTTGCTATGAGGTGCCAGTTTAATAATACCAACATTTACTAAAGGCAAAAATCAACTAAAGAGGCAAGAGGTCATAACATCTAGAAAAATTGCAAATGTCAGAATCCATGTAAGTTGAAAATTTTRGTGCACTTTATTAATATYGTTCACAAAAAATATGTTGTTGTCTTCTCCTTAGGTAGAATGAGCAATTGGTCGGATGAAAAAGTTCCACATACTGAATAAAACTTGGGATCTTGAAATGGTCAAAAATTGCAATGATATTCTGGTTGTAATTGGTGTACTTGTAAACCTTTTACCTCCACTTGTAAAATAATGATTTTACATACTTAGTAGTGAAAGATTTCTKKACTGTAAATCCTTCTTATAGTCAGGATATGCATTAAAGTACCACATTGTCTTCCACAGTTTCAGCTTTGCTTATCAATAATAGTGTAGATGTTTTTTTTAGCCTTTTTTAGTTTTTTTTTTACTCATAGTAATAGTAGCAATGTTGTTGTTTTTTGTTTTTGTTTTCTCTAGTAATACCCCTAGACACACCCCTTAAACAATCCTGATTTCAGCCCGTCTTCCACAGTTCAAGCTTTTTTTTTTTTACTTTTTTGTTTGTGTTTTTTTTTCTTTTTAAACAGACACTTGAAGCATAATATATTTAGGTAAGAAGTGACTGAAGTAAAATTCACCCAGTTTTTTGGCCTCAGCTTTCCAGAAATCACTATCATATTCGATGCGTTGTACAGATATTCCTTGCGTTGTGTATACAATGAAGTCACACCATTTGGCACCTGTGATGCCCATCTGTCCCTGAACYTGGTAATAATAAGGGTCAGATTCTTTGAGAAACAACAAACCATTCTCTTCCCTGCACATAAATGTTTTTACTTCTTTAGCTGCTTGTATGGCAGTTTTCTTCTTCACACTGTAAGGGCATTTGACCTCCAGAATTCCCCATGGATGCCTTGCTAGGGGGTCATATACAACACGGTCAGGGGTCGCTCCTAGAAATGAATCTTCAGGGCTGATGTAGAAGCCACATGGGAATATTTTCACCATTTTATAATCACCCAGTCCTCTGTATACCTGCACCGCAACATCCTCATTTTCCCTTCCCCACTTGAGCATTCTGTCTACAAATGTAGTTGGGGGGTTTTGTTGGAGTAGTTTATCTGCCAATAACTTTGGTTTGGCTCTGCTGATCTCCATTTTTTTGCATATATCTCCAAACTTCGACGCAGTAAGCCTTGGGTACTTTAATGCATACCATTTTGGACATTCAGATTGTTTCTGAGTTTCACATTGCAGCTGGTTGGATTCTTGGTATGTTACATGCAATAATGTGGAATAGTTTACACATTTTTCAGAGGTATCGATTGGCACAGATGTGCATTTCTCAAATTCAATACCCATAAGAGGGTATCCAGGTGTATCTATAGGTGTTGTTGGATGCCTTATGGCACGCTCTTCACTACAGTTGATAACAACTTGAAAATCACTATCTTGTTCTTCTTCATCTACAAAAGTTGAAAAAGTCAAAATTAGAAGATAAATATATAGCAAATAAGT